AAAACAAAATTGACTACATTTCCCCATCTATTCTTTGAATATTATGAGCAAATCTGTGTCAAAACTTTCTGTTTCAAGTCGAATAGCATTTAATACTCTGCCCATCAAGAGTTGATAACGGAGTTTTACGCATAAAATAACAATGCACATTGACATTTATCTGAAACAATGACGCTCATCTGGCAGTATATGAGATGTTAATCCTTAATCTATAGATTCTCTAGACGACAAATTTACATTCTGAGGATTGCCATAAATCATCTTAAAACAGAGATTAAGAGAGTGGATTTATCACATTGTCACACTTGTCAATTTCACTAGATTATTTAGCTTGGCACATGGATCCGTGTCACAAATGATTTAACTGAGCAAACTTCTATGAAAAGCAATATGGAAGTCTACTCTTTCTGGTGCTTTTGCTTTTCTCTCTAGTTCATTTAGGATGCATAGTTTGGTCTACAACCCTGTGGATGACCTGCGGGCTGAGGCGTCTGACTGCACTTCTTGAAAAATAGGATTTCAGGTCACCAGGTCAAAAAGATGACATTTGAAGAAAGTGTCTTTTTCTGGCGGGGTTGTTATTTTGCCCATTGTTTGTTTGATTCAGTTTAATTCATGGAAACTTTCCAGACACAATATTGAAAATGAAAACAGGAGAAATGCATTACTTGAATTACGTCTTTGAATATAGGTTAACATAGAAGGAAAGCACCAACAACAGTAAAGCGATCACGTCTCTCTACATGCTTCTCTCACAGACACAGTATGTCTCTTTGAAATCCTTACACCTACATCAAGCAATTATCAGAAAGCCCCATCTAATCGTTTGTTCCATTTTCTTTGGTCTAGATATTACAATGGAAATGTGTACAATTCAATTAACTCTCGGTAGGTCAGATCTGGTCAAGGTAGTTGATTAAAATATAATTGTGGGTCAAAGTTCCACGCCGGCCTTCATCACATCCATCACAGGTCATGTAGGGGTCTCTTATTTAAAATTGGAAAGGCGGCGCAGCGCTTTGTGCTTGTGCTTCACAGCAAGAATGTCCTGGGCTTGATCCCCTACCATTAACCATACAATAGGACTAGTTGGAGATGGTTGGAAGGTCTAGTGCACCAGCTGTGTGGCAGAGAATGGAAAGGTGTTTTGTGAACTGTGGTCAGTGAATTGTACTGTATATATAGATTACGATTCATTACTAAAGTCCGCGTAGTTGCTTTTCCTTGTTCATTTGGATTAGATCCAGAATTATCAGATGTTTTTGAGTTGATGTATAAAAATATATGGCTATTATTTCTTTGTTGAAAATGTTGATGAATTAATATGTAAAATGCAAATACAGTATTAAGTTCAGTTTAGTTTAGTCTTTACTTGAGAGGTGCACAGCTACTTTAAGATCAAAAACTGTTCTGCATCAGATTAGACATCTAATTTCTATCTGCAGTCCTTGATTATTCCCCAATTTTTCTTTGCTAACTTGAGGTGTCTGTGTGACCTATGTCCACTCCCTCGAGCAACCCTTCATTCTAACTCCAAAGTGGCAATATAAAAGGTAGAAGAGACACAAAGAGATGTTTATTATTGAAACTGTCAGTGACTTTTCCCCACATGACGCCACTTAATTGGAACCCATTGGCCATGAAATGTCACAGGATTAACTTCATGTTGCTGCATTGATCCACAATTACTTACTCCTGAAATCTATTGAAAGTCAACACCCCAAGACTAGTACTGGAGTCGGAAGTGCACCATGAGAGAGGTCTGCAAACAGCTGCTACAGTGGAGGTCATTGAAAAAGCCAAAGAGGAAGACGTCTATGGAAGGTATTATGAAAACAAATCAGCAGATATGACGTCCTTGAGTTAATAAAGGGTTGTGCGTTAAGTCTAACAGCGAGTAGCATGTAGTGGTAATCAATGATAAGGGCGTGTGTTCAACTATGGTAGACATTTATAGGACACGATGTGAAACATGCTTTGATGGACTTTGGTACATTATGAGGCTTGATGAAAATTACTAGTCCGGTCGTTTGGGATAAAGCACCATAAAAATGAGTGGTAAGCGTCAGATCCCAGTCTTCATTTAAGGTGTGGTGGGTCCATAATCATACTTAGTACATAGAAGGCGATTTGTCAAGCTGTTACATACTGTATATGAAGGCAGGCGGGAGCACTCAACGACCCCCAAGGGTGCGAAAGGGGTATTACGATCGCAGCCTTCACCAGTCAAGTATGGGATGTATTGCCGGAGAATAACAGGAAACCAGGGTATTGGAGATTGGAATGAAGCAAAGAGGGAGATATCCTGGGTTTAGATTAAACAATCTATAAGGCCTGGTCTATATGTAACGGGGTATCTGATGCAACACACATGTTTCCACGTTTACACCGGTCATCCACGCATAACCAGAGATTTCAGCACTAATAACAAGAGCTGGAAAACTTGAATGCACGTTTTGTCTTGTTTTTTGCATTTGCGTGTGGAGATGCCAACCCATAATTTTAGTTCCAAAAGGCATGGGTATTTGATGGCTGTGTGAATGAAGTGCAGCCTTCTATATTTTCAATGTGATAACACGAACCAGGAATCAAAACACATGCGTTTGGCTCTTTTTCGGCGAACAATAGCATCTCTGCTCTGTGATGGACATAAAGGCTGTGCGGTGTAACCAGGGGGAGCGGCGGACCAGTGCGAGCAGAGAAAGATCCTCCTTCTTCTCCTAGAGTACCACTTTGTCCTCATGATTTACCTCCAATCGCTAAATTCCCAACATTCAGGCCTTTTCGAACACAGCCTCACGTCACAGCACTCATTTTGTCAGTGCTGGTAGGATATGCTGGTTAAAAAACTCTGATCAAAGCACCACATGAGTTCTTTTAAATCCTTCAGAGCCGCGTGGTCAGTGTGGTGCCGCGAAAGATTGGTGTGCGTCAAAATGCTGTTCCGCTGCGCGCTGCGATTGTGGGTACACACTGCTAACTACGGCTACACACTTCTAACAGAGGCACAAACATGCGGTTTTGTGTGGGTGGGAATTTCTTAAAAACAAACCTAGTCTCGATGTAAATACCTAAAAACAGAGAGTGTAGGGTAAATGTGTTGATTAAAAAATACATCTTTGGTGTCAGGGTTGCTCCTCCAGCATCTGTCCCAGCTCGCCTGTGTTTTGAGTTCCCTGTATTTTTTGTTCATTAAACATCTTTGCACCTCTGCACTTGGGTTCCTTGTCCAACTTGTAACATTTAGTGTCAATAGTTTGTTACAAATTTCAGCCACAAACAAAAGACAGAAAAATAGAAACCCATACACTATACACAGGACAATAGGGGATAAAACATAACAAAGAAACAGGATAAAAACATTAAAAACTTATGTCAGCTTCAACCCAAAATCACACCACCTTCTTCTTTCCTGGTCCCAAAGATAGGCTTAAATTGAAAATGAATGTAATATGCTAGATTTGGGGAAACTGCTCTTTCAGAATAGCCACAGACTCAAGAAATTAAAGAATATAAGGAATGAACAGAACCCACGTGTGTGAAGCGCCTGAGCCCATATACAGATCAAACATTTCAAAACATATTCTAAACACTACTGTTATGTGTGAGGAAGTGTATGCTCGGCCAGTGCATGTATGGAGAGTGAATGTCGGTCCCAAAGGTGCTGACGCAGGTGTTGCCGGTGACGACAGCGCGGTCACCACACTGACCCTGAGCCGAATGAGGCACTGTTACTTGAATACAAATCCCATCTCCGGTGGGATGCAACACTGTAACCGATCCCACCGGTTTATGGAAAATGAATGCCTAGAGTTGCCAGCCACGTAGGACTAACCAATCACAGAGCGACACTGTGGGTAGCGTGTCCTTTACGGTACACCCAACATATATTATTATTATCAGCGGATTTCAATTATGGAAACTGTCAGCGTGTGAATTTTGATACATTTTCCATGGGATGCATATAAACATTTCCATACATATCTTAAAGCTGGGGTTCTTAACTTTCAAACCACAAAAAAGTGAACCAAGATAATGTATCTAACTACTTCCTCTATCACTAGTTTTCACATACATGGATTTTTGACCTCAGTCACAACTTAAAATCCGATATTTCTGGAAGAAAAGTACAAAAGAAAGGCCCACTCTTGCTCAGCTAATCAGTCTCAGCCCGAAGCATCAAGTATGTAAAGGACAACATATTTTATAGATACTAAGATGAAGATTTGATTGTCATTCATCAACATTTATGGACATTCTTCAGGACAATAGTTTTCGTATTCTTTTATAATTTAATTTTTTGTGTTTGAACAGTTTGATTCTCTGATCTGTGTTGGCAAATTCAACGGTTATTAAATTCAACGAGATTTTAATATATTTCTGTTGGGTCAAACAAACAGAACATATAAAACTGTTTATTCATGAAGCTTTAAGTGGCTGATGTAACTTAATTCTATAGGTTCATGGCTGGATTAGAACATATAACTTGTTGTGGGCGACTAAGTATCAGTATGTCTGGTCAGAAAATAAAATAATATGAATAGGTCTTGAACACAGAGTTAAGCTGCAGCTCTATTTCTGGGTAAGTCAACTATCAAAGAATATTTGCGGTTTAAGCTGACATGCCATTTCTAGACCAAATCCCCCATTCACAACATAATACGCTCAATTTCCACCTTCACATCCGCCTAAACTCCACCGGGGGCAGTATGTTATCAGCGCCAGTGGAAATTCAGCTCAAGTCGCCCTGTGTGGGTTAATAGAATCAGGACCAGTGCGAGTCTGTGTAGCCAAGAGACATGCAGCAAGTGGAGAAAGAATGATACTGTTTCTGTCAGGATAGAGTTAAGTGCTAAAATGTATTCATAGCTAGTGAGTAAATTGCTTGTACTAATGTCAATGTAAAGGTAAACTCATACTTATTTTTATTTTCTTCAAAAGCCCTAGCATCAGTGTAAAAAATGCAAATTATATGAAAGATATTGGTTCAATGGTCATACCTTATTGGGATTTGAAGCAGTGATGATCCAGACACACTGGGCGTTGCTCTCATACTGGATTGGGAAGTTCGGAGACATAAAACTTCCGGAAGGTCCTTGAAGATTACTGCCACATGTTTTCACTGAACACAAACAACAACAGATACTGTCAGTATAAATATATCAATATATTCAAGTCGTCATGAGATACACAGTGGAAAACCTTGTTACCGAAATGATTTCCATTGGCTCAATGTAATATATCTTTATTATCAATATTAGTTGAGGAAATGAGTAATGTATAAGTAAAATAGAACAACATGTATTCATTCTAAACACAGTATAAGTAAACTGCAAGTGACAAATTACATCTGCAGTTAAATTTCAAAGCAATATAACATTATTTAAGGTAAAAGCAAGTTTCAAAACATGTATAGAGACCAAAAAAATTAATTATAATCAATAATATAAATAACTGCAGATATGGCTATTTCCTCTTGAACATGTTGCTGAGTTATTGCAAATAAATGCACATATTTCTTTGGTGGTCATTTCGATTTCACGGGTCCTTCACTAGACACACCCTTTTACTTTGGAAATGACTATGCTAACTGAAACATAACATTATTAGCAGGAGTAATGTCTACAATGAAAGAATAAGGGCGAGTCAGGCGTGCAAGTATATTATTGAAACTGTCAGTGACGCCACTAAATTGGAACCCGTTGGCCATGAAATACCACAGGATTAACTTCACGTTGCTGTATTGATCCACAGAGACAGTCACTCCTGAGATCTATTGAAAGTCGGCACCCCAAGACCGGTGCTGGAGTCGGAAGTGCATCTTCAGAGCCGTCTGCAAACAGTTACTACAGCGGAGGCAATTGTAAAAGGCAAAACGGGTTCTTTACCACAACTGCCTGATTTAGAGCCTATAAATATAATGAGTTCTAACCATAAAAGGTTAATCCTGTTTTATTAATGTTCGTGTTTTGTGCACAATGGGGGCTTTTGCAAATGTATTCCAATGTGATTTTACTGCAAAAGGCAAATAAAATGAATCTGATTCTGAAAAGGAGTGGGAGGAGCTTGAACTTTTTGGGGAGATTTGGGGAAAAAAGGCAAAGCTTTTAAAGACATACCCCAAACACCTTCAAACTGTGGTGGCTATATACTTTTACAAGCCACACTATCCAGTTTTTAACTAAAATATTTAAACAATAATGTATAATTTTGCTTTCACTTAGTTTCGTCTGCCTTGAATTTGGGTGTTTTATAGACAAATCTGACAAAATATGAGTCGTGTGTGGTCTAAGAATGAACAATTATGGAAAAGCATATATAAGTTATCCATACTACATCTCAATTTCTACTTTTTCATTTTCTAAGTGTAATTGTAAACTTGAAGAACAAAAACTACATTAATAGACATTTTACATTTACATCCACCATTATGGGCCAAACAAGACCCAAGTAGTATCAGTCCCAACCATCACGCTCCCATTGAAAACAAAGCCATCCCTGTCTTTGATACCGAGGCAGTGGCCTGTTCCAAATGACACATGCTCCACGTTCAATAAAGCACCTAAGCCGTTGTTAGGCGTAGTGCCCTGAGTGGATGTGATAGAAAACCTGTGCGTCTGTCCTTGGGTCGTCCTGTTGGAGTTGGGAGGTAATTTTCTGGTTGGTTTGAAGCAGCGTTTGTTCCTTAATTAGTTTGTTCAGTGGTGGGCCGGAGATACGTCCGCACACATGAGAAAGAGGCACACAAAAACACAAAAGTACACAAGCTTATCCCACTTGTCTGTTTACTAGATACAAACAGACTCGCACACCACACATAGATGGACTCAACGGCACGAGGAGATAAACGACACTGAAAAAAAAAGCATTCGCCACGGCTCAGTCATTGGACGTACTAATTGGGTCTAGAATCGAGTCTGCTATAATAGTCCATTATACTACAGTTAAAGGTGCTATGCAAAATAATTAAACTGTCAAGGAGCACAGGTTGCAGCTACAGTGGGTCTTAAGCAGTGGGTCCCATTCACGCAAACATCCAATTCAGAGCCAACAATTCCCATAAATGCATGTCATGAATGATGCTGGAATCAATTTCACACTATTGAAGCTGTCAACCAGGTCCTTAGGAAGTGCCTGTGGGTTGACGGTCTTTGTGTATGAGACTATAGGTTCATGCCGGAGCGAAGTTTTGCCGATACCTCAAGGTCAACGGGAAATATTGTGAATTAGATCATGTCAAGCATACGTCATAATGTGGTTATAGAGGAAACTATTAAGAGAAAATAATGACATCCTTGTTAATAAAGACAAAAATATGTTGGAAAAGTTTGAATAACATTGCAACCATAATCTTTGAAGTCTATTCATTTCGCTCTCTTCTATGTGACATTTTGAGATTGTTTCAACATTCAAAAGATGTAAGTTTCTTTCTTTGTAATGGGTCATTACTGCTGCACTGGCTAACATTTTTCAACATTCTGAAACCCATTGAATAAAGAGAACATTGCACAATACTGAAAATAAGTATTATGAATGGCCTCGCATTACAGGAAAAAAGTAGTTTGCTGTCGGAACAAACGTGTTGTTCTTACTTCTATCATCCATCCATCCATTTTCTTCCGCTTTATCCGTTGCCGGGTCGCGGGGGCAGCAGTCTAAGCAGAGATGCCCAGACTTCCCTATCCACACACACCTCCTCCAGCTCGTCCGGGGGGACCCCTAGGCGTTCCCAGGCCAGCTGAGAGACATAGTCTCTCCAGCGTGTCCTGGGTCTTCCCCGGGGCCTCCTCCCGGTGGGACGTGCCCGGAACACCTCCCCAGGAAGGCGTCCAGGACGCATCCTGAACAGATGCCCGAGCCACCTCAACTGGTTCCTCTCGACGTGGAGAAGCAGCGGCTCTACTCCGAGCTCCTCCCGTGTGACCGAGCTCCTCACCCTATCTCTAAGGGAGCGCCCAGCCACTCTGCGGAGGAAGCTCATTTCGACCGCTTGTATCCGCGATCTCGTTCTTTCGGTCATTACCCACAGCTCATGACCATAGGTGAGGGAGGGAACGAAGATTGACCGGTAAATTGAGAGCTTTGCCTTTCGGCTCAGCTCCCTCTTCACCACAACGGTCCGATACAGAGACCGCATCACTGCGCACGCTGCACCGATCCGCCTGTCAATCTCACGCTCCATCCTCCCCTCACTCGTGAACAAGACCCCGAGATACTTGAACTCCTCCACTTGAGGAAGGACCTCTCCACCCACCTGGAGAGGGCAAGGCACCTTTTTCCGGTCGAGCACCATGGCCTCGGATTTGGAGGTGCTGATTCTCATCCCAGCCGCTTCACACTCGGCTGCAAACCGTCCCAGTGCATGTTGCAGGTCCTGGTTCGTTGGAGCCAGCAGGACGACATCATCCGCAAAAAGTAGAGATGAAATCCTGTGGTTCCCGAACCGGACCCCCTCCGGCCCCTGGCTGCGCCTAGAGATTCTGTCCATAAATACAGTGAACAGAACCGGTGACAAAGGGCAGCCTTGGCGGAGGCCAACATGCACCGGGAACAGGTCTGACTTACTGCCGGCAATGCGAACACAGCTCTGGCTCCGGTCATACAGGGACCGAACAGCCCTCTGCAGAGGACCCCGGACCCCGTACTCCCGGAGGACCCCCCAAAGGACACCCCGGGGAACACGGTCGAACGCCTTCTCCAAATCTGGCTCTTGGGACGTGGAACGTCACCTCACTGGGGGGGAAGGAGCCCGAGCTTGTGGGGGAGGTTGAGCGATACCGACTAGAGATAGTCGGCCTCACCTCCACACACAGCTTGGGCTCTGGAACCCAACTCCTTGAGAGGGGTTGGACGCTCCACTTTTCTGGTGTTTCCCGCGGGGAGAGGCGGCGAGCTGGGGTGGCCATACTCATTGCCCCCCATCTCAGCCGCCACGTGTTGGAGTTCTCCCCGGTGAATGAGAGGGTCGCGTCCCTCCGCCTCCGGGTGGGGGACAAGTCTCTCACTGTTGTGACGGCCTACGGGCCTAACGGTAGTGCAGAGTACCCGGCCTTCTTGGAGTCCTTGGGAGGGGTACTGGACAGTGCACCGCCCGGGGACTCCGTTATTCTCCTGGGGGACTTCAACGCCCATGTGGGAAATGCCAGTGACACTTGGAGAGGGGTGATCGGGAAGAGCGGCCCCCCTGATCTGAACCCGAGCGGTGTTCAGTTGTTGGACTTCTGTGCCAGTCACGGCCTGTCCATCACGAACACCATGTTCGAGCACAAGGGTGTCCATCAGTGCACGTGGCACCAGGACACCCTAGGCCGGAGGTCGATGATCGACTTTGTAGTCGTATCATCTGACCTTCGACCGCGTGTCTCGGACACTCGGGTGAAGAGAGGGGCGGAGCTGTCAACCGATCATCACCTGGTCGTGAGTTGGATCCGCTGGCAGGGCAGGAGGCCGGTCAGACCTGGCAGGCCCAAGCGTGTAGTGAGGGTTTGCTGGGAACGTCTTGGTGAGCCCCCTGTCAGACGGACTTTCAACTCACACCTCCGGGAGAGCTTCTCCCAGGTCCCGGCAGAGGAGGGGGACATCGAGTCCGAGTGGACCATGTTCTCTTCCTCTATCGCCAATGCGGCGGCTCGTAGCTGTGGTCGCAAGGTCTCTGGTGCTGGTCCCGGCGGCAATCCCCGAACCCGGTGGTGGACACCGGCAGTAAGGGATGCCGTCAGGCTGAAGAAGAGTCCTATCGAGCAATGATGGTTCGTGGGACTCCTGAGGCAGCTGTCCAGTACCGGCAGGCCAAACGTGCCGCGGCCCGGGCTGTTGCAGAGGCAAAAACCCGGGACTGGGAGGAGTTCGGAGAGTCCATGGAGCATGACTATCGGTCGGCCTCGAAGAGGTTCTGGCAAACCGTCCGGCGCCTCAGGAGGGGGAAGCAGTTCTTTGCCAACACCGTGTATGGTGCGGGTGGAGGGCTGCTGACCTCGACTGGGGATATTGTCGGGCGGTGGAAGGAATACTTCGAGGTTCTCCTCAATCCCCCCGTCACGTCCCCCGTCCAGGAGGCAGAGGCTGAGGATGTTGGGGCGGATACTTCCATCTCCCTGGCCGAGGTCACCAAGGTGGTTGGCA